GGAAGAGGAAGGCTCTATAGGCTCCCGCCCCTCCCACCCTGCCTAGTGATGGTGGCTGGCAGCTGGCAGCACCCCCTCAGTGCAGCATGGCTCCCAGCTCCCTCCCTTGCTCCTCTGGCCACCGTCCTGGCTCCTCCAGGCCACTCCTGAGCCACCTTAAAATCTTGGGCATAACTGAAGTTAAACTTACATAAATTCAGAGTAGGAGCATTTAGGATATTAAATGTAACCTTGGAAACAGCAAAAAGATAAAGAATACAAATAAATGAAAAAAGGTAAGTATTTCATTACAAAAATCAACTGAAGACCAAAAAAGACAATACTATAGTACAAGAAACGAGACAAACTACAAGGCATATAGAAAATAAACAACAGAATGATAAAAGTCCTTCTTTATTACTAATTATGTTAAATATAAGTGAATTGAACTCTCTAATGAAAAGACAAAGACTGGCTAGCAGAACAGATTTTAAAAAATGATTCAGGGGCCGGGGATTTAGCTCAGTGGTTCGGTGGCCTGCCTTGCAAGCACAAGGAACTGGGTTCAATCCCCGGTACCAAAAAAAAAGATACAACTGGCTGGGGATTTAACCCAGTTGTGCTGCCACCTGCCTCACAGGCACAGGGTCCTGAGTTCGATCCCCAGTATCAAAAAAAAAAAAAAAAAAAATCCAACTATATGCTGTAAGAGATTCACTTCAGATTGAAAGAAACCTGTATGCTGAAAATGAAGGGTGGAAAAGGATATTCCAAGCAATAGTAACTGTAAGAAAGCAGGAGTGGCTGTACTTAGACAAAACAGATTTTTATAGTGGGGCATGGTGCTGCAGTATACAATCCTAGCAATTCAGGAAGCTGAGAGGCAGATAGAAAGTTTTAGGCCAGCCTAGGCAACTTAGAGAGACTCTGTCTCAGTATAAAAAATAAAAAAGGAATAGAAATATAACTTAGTAGTACAGCCTCCCTAGTTTTAATTCTGAGTACTACAAAGAAAAAAAAAGACATTAAAGATAATTTAAAAGGCTTAATTTAGAAATATAATAATCAGAAACACGTGTATGTATAACAACAGCCCATAAAAATACAAGATGCAAAAACTAGCAATACTGAAAGGAGGAACAGTTCTAAAATAATATTTGCAACCTTGAACACTCACTATCGTGAACAGAACAGAACAGTCAGAAGAGAAATAAGGAAATAATGGAGATAACACAGGAAATCAAATAGATCTAATAACATAATACTCATTCTTCTCAAGTGCACATTGGACAGTTTCCAAGATAGACCACAGCTGGTAAGATGAGCGTCAATAGACTGAAAACAAGTATCATGCAAAGTAACTTCTCTGACAACAAGTCAAGAGTCAAGAGAAAATTCACCAATTTGTGGAAGTTAAACAATACGTTTTTAAGCAACCAATGGATCAAAGAAATTACAGAGGAAAAATGAGAATGCAACATAAGAAAAATATGATAAAAGTAGTGGTAAGAGTGAAATTTATTGCTATAAACACTTTAAAAAGTAAGATCAATCAATGTTGAATCAACAACCTAATATTACAACTTAAGAGACTAGAAAAAGGAGAACAAGCTATATATGCAAAGCTAGCAGAAAGAAAAGCTTACAGCACAGATAGAGAATGAAAAAAACTTCAATACAGAAAATAAAAACAAAAGTTGGTTGCTTAAACAGATCAACAAAATTGACTAGCTAGAAGGAATTTAAAATGAGAAGATTCAAATTACTAAAATCAGAAATGAAAGCAAAGACATTACTACCAAGTCTAGAGAAATAGAATTTTGTAAGCATACTCTGAATGAGCAAAAATATGGCAACCTAGATGAAACAGAAAATGTCTACAAATATAAAACCTACCAAGACTAAATAATTAATAAAAATATGAATAGCTCTAACTAGTAAGGAGAATGAATTAGTAACTAAAACTCCTGATAGTAAGATTCATGGACCCAGTAGGTTCCTTGGTGAATTTTACCAAGCAGTGAAAGAATGAACAATTCTTATTCAGCTTTCCTTAAAAAATTAAGTTTAGAGAGTCCTTTCACACTCATTTTATGAGGTGAGCATTACTCTGACTCCAAAGCCAAACAAAGACACTATTAGAAACAATAAATTATAGAACATCTCTTATGAACACTGATGTAAAAATCCCCAATAAAACACTAGCATACAGAATCCAGCAGTATTTAAGATTATACACCACCATCAAGTGAGATCGACTACTAGAATGCGATACAGTTCAACATACAAAAAGTGATATGCAATACATATTAGTAGACTGAAGGGGAAAGACGTGATAGTTTCACAAATGATGAAGAAAAAGCATTTGACAAAATACACTATGGAATTCTCAACAAATTAGAGGGGAATACGAACTAGAGGGGAACATAAAACCAAATATTTTCATGTATTTCATAATGAAAGCCACTGCATGTGGGTACACCTCACACACTGAGTATCATACTCAGTGGTGAAAAACTCAAAGCTTTTCCTTTAATTTAGGAAAAAGGTAAGATACTTGCTTTTATCGTTTTATTGAACATAACACACTTCGCTAAGTGAAGTAATCCAGCCCCCCCATAAGACCCCACTTACATGAAGTACGTAGACTAGTCAAAATCAGAAGGACATATAGTAGATGGTGTGGTGGATGCTGTGGGCTGGAGGGAGTGAAATGGGGAATGACTGTTTAATGGGGAGCACAGGGTCAGTTCTGCAATAGTTCTAGTGATAGATGACTGTGATGGCTATAGAACAATAGCAATGTGTTTAATGAGACAATTAATGGGATAACTGTTAAATATAATTAAGGTCTGTATATCCTATAAAAGCATTATAGTCATGTTAATTTTCCCATTTAGTTTACTGTTCTGTGGTAAAATTTTTGTTCTTAAAAAAAAAAAGTAGTATTGGACTGGAGATTTAGCACAGTGGTGCTGCACCTGCCTCACAAGTACAAGGTTCTAAGTTTGATCCCCAGGACTTAGAAAAAAAAAAGTAGTACTATATGATATTAATTTTAAGGGTAAAGGAAAATGAGACTTCATTTCTTCACTCACAAAAAAATTAACAACTGGGGATCTGCTTAAAGGTATAAGACATCTTTTTAATATCTGGCACTATGTATAAATCTGAAATTCCTCTAGAAAGCAAAGCAAATAGTATGAAGGCACTGCAGTCAAGTGATAGTACAGCTCAAAAAGGTTCATTTAGATAATCCAAAGGATGCTATTTTTATTTAAGATTACCCATAAAATGAAAATATATCAAGTTATCTGTTAAACAATACTAGTGATCCAATAATTTAAGAAGCAAAACTCAGTTGTGAACTCTGGATGGTCCAAGGCAACAAGCTGCTCTGTGTCAGACATATACCCCTACTGTAATTATTTTCATGCCATGTGGGAATTACCTAACTTGTCAGAGGACAACATTTTAATCACTATGACAATCAAGCTGGATTGTCAGCTCGATTGACCTGGGAGCAAGGGGGATTAGTAGCACATACTTCTGGGGTGTGTCTCTATGGTCATGGAGACATGACCTTGGGTACTATGGTATACATAATCCCTGTCTCTTCCTCTCTGGCAATGTTCCCTTGCTCTCTTTCCCAGCTGCTATAAACTGAGCAGCATTTGTCTGCCACACCTTTCTCCAACGATTTTTCTGCTTTTGAGACAGACTAACCATGGACTGAATCCCTGGAAATTATGAGTGAAATTCAACCTTTCCTCCTTTAAGTTATGGGTGTCATTTGTTTTAGGATGTATAGTATTCTCCCTTTACTCATGAGGAGTATGTTAAAAGGTGTTCTGTAGATGCCTGAAATCATGGCTAATACTGTACCCTATTAAAACTTTTTTCTTGTATATGCTCATGATAAAATTTAATTCTAAATTAACCATAGAAGAGATTAAGAACAATAACAAAAGAGAGTAAGTAAAACAATATCTTACAATAAGTTATTCAAAATTTATAAGCTGTTTATACTTCAAATGAGACTGATATATTTCATATTGATCATCAATACTATAGTTATTACCATTAACTAGACTTTGGGTAACTGTTGGGAAGGCAGTTGATGTCAATACACCACTCCTTGGAACTAGTAAGGCTCTGAAAATGAAAACTGATCAGCTTCTTTGACATTTGGCTTATCATTTATTAAACGTTACATATAACTTTTAAAAAATGATTTTAAGTAGTTTTCTTTCCAGAAAGCTTAGAAGATAGCACAAAGAGTTATCACAGGGCCAGGGCTTTAGCTCAGTGGTGCCACAGCCTGCCTCACAAGTGCAAGGTCCTGAGTTCGATCCCCAGGACAAAAAGAAAGAAAGAAAAGAAAATGAAGAAAAAGAAAAAGAGTTTATCACATATTCTTGACCAGTGATGACAAACCTTTTAGAGCTTTAAATACTAACAAATGGCTTGCTGTGGCATGCATGCCATAGGTATCACTAAAGGCTCTAAAAGGGTGGCTATCACTGCAACACATGGCCAATTATTTTTAATGAATAAAAAAGTATGTTATCTAACTAAATGAGAGAAAGATGAGCATTTCTAAAGGAGATGAATACATACCAGGAAACAAGGTGCTGTATAAAATGTTAAATCCAGTACAAGGTCAAAAGTACAATGATATTCATTCGCTTTAGAAATTACACAAATTTTCAAAAGCAAGAATATTTTGAAGCGTTTTAAAGAGATTAACAGTATAAAAGGCATACAAATCCAAGGAGGTACAATATTATGAGGATAAGTTTAAAATGTGTCTTATTTCATATAGAATCTAATAAAATGGCAACGGTTAGACCCATTTAATATATATTAAATCCCAAACATTTCATTCCCTAAAAATAACCAAGTGAAGGCCAAAGTAAATCATCAAACCAACAAAAAACAGTTAACATTTAAAAAGAATGCAAACAAAATACTAAAAGCAAATGAAATTTTTATAAAGAAAAAAGAAAACTAATAAAAACCTGTGGTATGGTGGGTAGGATGACAGTATTCTCAGCAGGGACTGGCAGGACAGGGATCACAGGGACAGTGGGAGAAGAGGGAGGAACGGCTTCTGTTGGCTAAAAATCATCAATGACAAAAAATCAGGAAAAGTACCAAAATAAAAAGGAAACACATAACAGAAAGTTGTGCCATTAAGATAAATTAGATAAATTATAGTTTTCAGATATAACTGAGAAATAGGTAATACATTACTTTAAAATATTCTCTAAAATTTTTTATAAATAATTACAATCCATTATAAATACTATAATTATAAGTAGTATATTTATTAAAAGTCTAAGTGAAAATAATAACTGTCATAATGATCCTACTCTTGGACATAAGATCCTTATTTTGTTGAGAAATTGCAAAATCATTTTCCAGCATTTGGAATGTATCTGACGGCTTTCAAAGAACCAAGCCATTTCACTTTTTTTTTTTTTTTTTTCCTCCCCCGGTACCAGGGTTTGAACTCAGGATCTTGTGCTTTGCGAGGCAGCAGTGGTGCAGATGAGCTAAATCCCCAGGCTGAAGAACCAAGTTATTTTACTTGCCCACCATGCAAACAATCTATAGATAAAGATTCAAAGGACCACAAAATTGTATTTATATCACATAAAATGTTCTGCATTATTAACTTTTACTATCAAGGACAGTTAAATAGCTACCTAAAACTGCCTGCACAGTCATTAATTCAACCAACATTCACTGACTATTATGTGCCAGATACATTTCAGTAAAATGGAAAAACAAAAGCAGAGAGAACACTAGTTATATAATTTAAACTAGTTAATTTTGATGTTTAATAACTGTTTGTCCTGATTTAATTATATTTTAAAAGATGTAGCAAACAGAAGTGTTTTATAACAAGACGGATTGATTCTAAGATGGATTAATTAATAAATACTTGCTATATGATGTGAAAAAAACCCACGAAAATCAAGTAGGTAAGAGGTCACTATGCGCCAACAACTAAAAACAGGAATAGTTTGAACTTGAAACTATGCTTATCCTCACAGATTAATGCAAAATAAAATTATAACAATTAATTTGGCCTATCAAGGTTTATAAAAAGGCATAGAATCTTTTCAACAATGGTGCTGAGATTGAATAATCACATATAAAAGAATGAAACTGGACCCCTATTTCACATCATAAATAAAAATTAACTTTAAATGGTTCCAACACCCTAAATACAAGATCTAAAATCACGAAAACTCTTAGAAAGAAATCTAGGCAAAAATACTAAAGTTAAGATTAGTACTGCAGATGGTGATAAGATCACTTTCTTCCTAACCAGTTCCCATTTTGGGATGATGAAATAATTCTGGAGATGTAAAATGATATTTGCATAACACTGAATGTACTTAATATTGCTGAACTGTATACTTAAAAATACTTAAAATGTTATGTATACTTTAACATTACTTCAATCACCATTTATATGCTTTTATAGAAAAAATTCTGAATTCCATATTATGAGCTTCAAATTAATAAATAGTAACACATTTACTTGGAAATGACCTTTTTGTACTCATTTATAATAAACCACGAGAAAAGAATAGTTTTGAAAGAATTATTGCTGGATCAACTAGATATAAAATCAAATGAACCAATGATCTCTAACCAAACATAAAATCAATTCTAGGTCTGCTGGTATAAATGAGAGAAATAAACAAAGCTTCTAGGAAATAATATGGTAAAATATGTCATGACTGGCGTAGGCAACAACCTATTGAACAGAAAAGTGCATGTTGTTGAAACTGAAGTACAGTAAGGACAACATCTGTGTGGAGGGAGTGGAGGGAAGACAGGAACCTGGCACAGAGTGCTGGAGCTTGAACAGGGTAGGGAGGGTGTCTCTACAGGAAGAGCAGTGGCAGCAGTTTGATGTTTGTTGGAACCCAAAGGAGACGAAGGATATCTATGTGGCAGAAGCAGTAGCCTGATAAAAGGTCTGAGGCCCTCAGCAGAATAAAAGGGTATCTGTTGCTGCTTGTAAGGAAGGTGGCCATTTAGGACAGTGATGGTGATAGGAGATGGTTATATATGGAGCATTTTGAACTAATACATATATAAAGGGTAAATGGAGCAAGGTTCATTTCAGAAAAGGGAGATATAAATAAGGTAAGGGAGAAAACTAGCATAATATAGTGTTAGACTGGAATTTGAAATATTGATATTAACATAGTTTTCAATATATAGGGATATAAAAATAAACAGATATAAATATGCACTTATCTCCCCCGGCCCACGGAAGAACTGGGAACTTACCTTTAAAGCAAGAACATACCTAGCACCTAGGCCTTGATTCTAAATATCTATTCTTTAAAAAGCAGATTTCCAGGCTGGGGATTTAGCTGAGGCAAGAACAAGGTCTTGAGTTTGATTCCCAGTATCCCCCCCACAAAGCAGACTTTCTTGGAGACAGTGGCTTACTTTAGGGCTAGAGCTCAGCAAGTTCAATGAGCCCAAATATCTTGCTATGCTAGAAAATAAGAAAGTGCTCAGACAGGGTATCATAAAGGACATAGAAGTGAGTCTGAAAGGCTGCCATTGTTCACAGTGGGAACAATCTGAGACTCAAAATAAAAAATAAGAGGCTTACTAGCCAATAAATAAAATGGGGATCCAAGAGTCCATATTGATATAGATACAAACATGAAATAAACGGAAAGCATTTCTTAACAATGAAATTCTAACTAAAACTATATAGAAGACATGACAACCAGAAAATCATTCAGCAATTATCATATTCAGTTTATTCAAGCAGCATTAATCAATGCTAAAGTTTCTGAATACATCTAGAGTCTGCAAAAAATGTATATACACTCCAGGAAAAGAAAAACAGTATGATATTTTTTCAACAGATGTGTTACCCTCGTACAGGAGACCCTACAGGGTGTTGTATATTGCAGAAAATTCATTACACTCCTGGCCCTTAGAAAATAAATTGAAAATGCATGCTCAGCAATCTCAAAGGACCAAGGATACCCAAGCAGTCTAATAAAGGAAAGGTAACTAAGGTAACTTGTATCTCTCTCCCGCCCCAATGAACCCACTGAGCTAAATCCCCCAACCACTGAGCTAAATCCCCGGCCCTCATGATGTCTCAATAAATTTAGTATTAAAATATTTATACAGGGGCTGAATTTAGTATTAAAACATTTATTCAGGGGCCAGGGATTTAGCTCAGTGGTTTTGGTGCCTGCCTCGCAAGCTCAAGGGTCCAAGTTCGATCCCCGGTATTTAAAAAAAAAAAATTTATTCAAATTTTTCTTTTCCTGAAGTGTGTATTGGGGGGGGGGTGCAGACTATATTTATAAAATCTTAAAAGTTTCCTGTATCTCTTTGTCATTGCTTTAGAACACCATAATCAGCTTATATTTTAAATGTTTGAAAATGTCACAAAATATCCTCTTCTTAGTAATGGTCTTCAACGCTAATAGTATAAGATCTTAGCTGAGAGACATTTTATATAAAAATAAGGAAAAGCTACATGCTTATGCAGATTTTAAGGCCAAGCATAGAAAATTTTTTCCACTGGCAGTTCTCCAAACCTCTTTTTGATTAACTATAATCCTTTCATTTTACATTTAAATTTCACCATCACCTTCTGTCTCTGAGCTTCCTCTGGAACTATCTTCTTTAGATAAGGAACTGAATACTATTTTTAAATTCCTAAAAACAACTTGCACCATCTCAACCCATCCCACTCTCTATAGGGCACTAAGCTCTGTGCAAAAGAACATATGCTTGTGCCTCTTCCTTAAGGTAGAGGCAAATACTTCAAAAACAAATGATATGTCAACGCATACAATTTCCAAGGCACAAACAATAAATAATTCTGATAACAAAGACTTAAAGAACAACAAAATAATTCATGCAATTCACTTGAAACAAAAACATCTAAACACATAATAATCAAATGAAGGTAGATTGACGAGAAATGGCACAGATACTAGATCTTCGAGTAAAATTAGGAGACAAAAGAATGATTTGAACACCACAGACTAAAACATCAGGGAGGTGTGTAAGATTCCAAATTTAAAAATGTCAAGAATATGTAAAATATAAATAAAGAGGCAGCAATATATAATAACCTTTATATTTGAATTATTACAGAAAAATTCAGAAAAGCATTTTGAACTGGAGAACTCTGCAATGATTAGACAATAATGACTATTATGCCATCATCCTTGTCCTGTCCTGTATTAGTAAGATCAGCTCCAAAGAGGTTTTGGTTGTTTTCTAAAAATCTTGATCACGTGACTAGCAACAGTCTCAGTTGTTTCTATCCATAGCAACACTATGGAATCATTTGCCTGAGAGGCTGCCTTCAGAGACATGTTTCCATGACAACAGAGGCTATAATATTAACACTGTCTCAAGGAACACTGCAGAAAATTGTAAACTGCTGTATAATAACCTGATACATTGTACATATATAAAAAGTACCCCTTTAAAACCAACATTAAATTGACAGCTATCTAAAGTTTTTAAACAGATTTAAAGGATGTTTATTAGTTTTCTTTATAGCTTTATATATCTACATCTAATTTGATATTTTAAATTAAACTAGTGTTTAAAATGTAGGCGATTTTCATTAAAATGGTTTAAAGCCTCATTAGGTAGCCATGTACGTAACCTACAGCCCCCCTAGCTTCGTTTTATTCAACAATAAATGTATACTTAGTGAGTGAGCCTAACTTTATTAAAACCTTTCATGCTTAAAACAGCTACAATGCTTTTTATTATGCAGATATGAATCCTGACAGGAAAAGACAGAAGGGACAATTAGAAGGCTGTGATGTGGTGGGTTAAGAACAATGGTGATAATGGTGAAGATGGACCTGAGTAGTCAAATCAAGAGAGATTCTGAATGTAGAGTTGGACTGTATCTTGCATGACTGAAGGCAGGACTACTACGAAAATACACACAATGGCAACTAGAAATTATTTCTTGTATCATAGCGATATTACATTTAGACATAAAAGAATTTCAAGACTAATCTAAATACATTTTTCATTATATTATTTATTAAAATAATTTTCAGGGCTGGGACTTTAGCACAGT